GTGGGACCAAATACAGGTTATGGCAGAATCAAAAACTGCTGCATGATGAGACAGGCTCATTCAGTCCTTATAGATGTGTGTTCAATCAGTCCTTATATATGTGTGTTCAAGGTAGATCCTCATATCCACGAAAGGCAGTCCACAAACTTTGCATATATAATGATTGTAAGAAAGCTGATGTAAACTGATGCAAATTAAATCTGCATGTCAGTTTCCATGAGTTTTAACCCAGTATGGTGTGAAGGAGCCCTAAGGGTTAAAATAGACTCTGCTTGTCAACTGCCCTTTTCAGAGGGGCCTTAAGGACTGTCGCAAATGTAAAACGGTACCTTAGTAAATATTACATATGCATGTCTGTTGAAAGTAACTATCAACAGGTCTGATCATTTGTTCCTGAACCCCTCCCCTTTGTGTATGGCCAGGCAGCAATTGTCCAACTCCATGATTACCCATTGTATACAAAGAGAAGTGACTTGCAAAGTATCTTATGCTAAAAAAACCAAAAAAAAACAACTATTTTTTCCCAGCATTTAAAAAAAATTATTTATTGTTCCCATGTCATATGGGGTGATCCTGACGCTGGCTAAAAGACCACTTTCTAGTTACGGTGTCGCTCCCTTACTAGCCAAACCAGAGTGATGTTACGGTTTTGCTAGCAGCATCCAAGGCCAGACAGAGACCGATTCTAATTGTAGCTCCAGGCAAAAACTTTTGTTTTATATTTTTCAATAGAGTAGGGAAAGGTTAGATCCTATACCAAGTTCCTGTTGCTACTCATGTCCTCGCCCCTTTGTCAGCACTGGTGACCATTACCACCAAGAAAGGAAGTGTGGGAAAATTGGAAAGTTCAGGTCAAATTCACATTGGAGTGTTTTTGTAGCTCGAAGCACCTAAACACTCCACTTACAAGCTCCCATGGTTTTCAGTGGTGGCGTAGTGTGGCTTGAAAAAGCACAGGACCTTCTTTTGAGCTACAAGCTTCAAGAATTATTGCCCCTAATAAACATTAATGGAAGTGCCTGAAAAGAATGTGTGAAAACACAATTATTGCACTTTTTTTTCTGTAGGAACTAGTTTTTCATTGGTTCAAAATAGAAAAAAAAATCAAGCCTCCGATGCCCGCAAATATGCAGTACAAATGTTTAAAAAGAACGCCTGCAAAATAACCAAAAACACTCATCCCAAGTGTGCATGCGGTGTTAGGCCTCATTATACTTGAGCGTAACGAAATCATGGGCAGAAACACGTGATTCCAGAATGCTGGCAAAAGGGCACCCCAAACGCGATTTTGCCATGATTGTCGAACAGCAAAATGTGCAAAAAAAGCCAAGCAAAATGCACAATGCCAAAAGCGCATGGGTCAGTGCCAAAATTTGGTAAATGAGCTTCTTTGGCACGTTATTGGAGTGGAGGGAGGCTCATTCAAAAAGAATTGTACACGCTCTAAAAATGTGCAAAAAACATGACGCGGAAGCATCGCTCAGGTAGGAACAAAGCCTTAGGCCTCATTCACACAGTGTGTGCTATACTGTGTTCAGTGCAGCAGTCCCATTGATGGCAATTGAGACTCAGTGGCTGCACACACACAGCTTCTGTGTCATCCGTGGCTATGGACATCCGTGGAAATGGATCATATTGGGACACTTCAGCTGTGCTCGTGCAGCCACTGTTTTCTGACATCATGGGGTTACCTGCATGAAGATGCACAGAACACTGCACATCAGTACGTACAGTATAGTACAAGGACTTAGAGTTGTCTCCAGAACAAGAGGTAAGGGGAAAAGTTTGAAAGGTGATACCTGTTCTGGGAACTAAGGCCCTTACCACATGGGATGGACTCCGATTTGATCAGCAGAGAATCATTCCACTGATCGGGTGGGTGCAGTTTCTGCAGAGTGGACAAAGCCTGCTCTACTCTATGGGCAGAGGGGAGTAAATGGACTCCACTGTTCATTTACACCCAGCTGCCCTCTGATCTGCCTAAACGGAAGAGGAAGGACCTCCTTCCATTTCTTTTTAGCGGATTAGAGGTAGGTGTACACAGACACAATTCTATTTAGATAAGTCTGCCTGTAGGGGGGAATCTAGGTTGCCACTTTAAAAAAAACGGAACACATTAACTACACAGGTTCTGAGGCTACATTAACCTGTTGATGCCGACAGTATGCAAATATGTGGCCTCTCAGCGACTGGGCCTTGACAATAACTGGCCACATATTTGCACAGCGCGAGCTCCTGGCACATTTACTGGCGCCTCACGGAAAGGTCCCAATCATTACTTGAGATCGGGACCTTTCCATTCATGTGACCACTATGACAGCCAAAAGTCTATCTTATGGCGCCACTCTAAGCTATGGATGCAAGGAAAGGACCCAGCCCCGGTAGGCAGAGCAAAACATGTCAGCAGGCGTGGCCAGAATGGCAGCTGAGGTCATTCCTCAACATTAGACTCCTGGGGTCGGTTGAGCAGCGTCCATCCCTTCACTTGTATTTGCTTGACAGCCAATCAAGGCGGAATTAAGACATAATTCCAACGCACACGTTTGTGCATCGAAGGTTAGCTGTATGCATAAATGGATGCTGTAGCGACCATCGGCTGGAATTGAAAAGAGACTCAAATGGTTAGAATGTCACCAGCACACCGAGGATCTCCAGTTATGGGTCCACAGCTTTAATAGGCAATCACATAGTTACAGCAAGTGCAATGCTTCGGTGTCTCGCAGGACACCTTCATCAGGCATGTGACCTAATCATCACATCACATGCCTGATGAAGGGGTCCTGAGAGAAACCCGAAATGTTGCACTTGCTGTAACTATGTGATTGTCTAATAAAGCTTTGGACCCCTAGGGCTCTTTCACCCGGATGTTCCAATTGGGTCCGCCTGTCTGTTTTTCAGGTGGACCCGATCGGAACCTCCATTCTCCTCTATGGAGTGGCAGGTGTAAACGGACATGTGTCCGTTTACACACACCAACATCCGCTGGGGATCCAATTCCCCTTCCGTCTGTCAGATTGGATGAAAGTGTACAGGCGGTCCGTTTTCATCTGACCGCCTATTGAGGAGAGCGAGCAGCTCTGTGTCCGCTCTGCAGTAGCGTAGCAGACACAGAGCTGTCATCCGCTTGCTCAGCGGAGTCTTCCCCTGCTGAGCAAAGTGGATCCACTAAATGGGTCTGCCCTGTGTGAAAGGACCCATAACTGGAGATCCTTGGTGTGCTGGTAGCATTCTTTCCATTTGAGCCAATCAAGGCAGTCACATGACCCTAAACCCCTCCTGGCACCCCAAAAGGTAAAGAGTCAGGAGGGCCAAGGGGTTAATACAGATAAGGCACTGAGTTTAATTACCACCTGACACCCCGGTCACATCAAAGCCGATTTTGAAATCGTGCAACTTACAGTGAAGTTGCCCGATTTCGAAATCGGGTGACTTGCTGATTTTGTTGCAATTTGCAAGACATCTGACACATAAGTGTATACAAATCGCACCAAAAGTAGCGTATATACTACTTTAGAAATCTGAGTTGCTCCAACCAAGTCAGAACCGCACCGATATGACTGCTCTAATAGCGGACAATAGGGTGCGACTTGGCTTATGATTTGCAAGTTGCAGGGCATGCAAATCACATGCCAAGTTGCACCTGATGTGACCGGGGGCCTAATGAGCTGCAGAACCTGTGTAATTAAAATGTGTCCAGTTTTAAATGAATGAGGTGGCAACCCCAAGGTGAATGGAGGGTCCAATCAAATCCACATGAAAAACTGGACAGGTAGACCTACTCGGACCTGCCCTTTGTGTGAAAGGGGCCTAATCCAGGCTATACATGGTTTGAACTCCTAATGATTTTTCGTCCAAAATTCAGAAATGCCGTTTGCTCAGTAATCCGATGGTGACATCATTGATTTCAAAAACCGGCCAACCAACTCATAAAGTTCACCCCATATAACATGCAAAACTTCTGTTCCTTCCAGGTCACGGCTCATGCGCATATTCTTTTTGGAAAAATGTTGTACGATTTGACCATCGAGTCAAAAATCGGTCGTTTTTCACGAATTTTCCAACATGCCCGATCACCAAAAAAGGGAGGAACTGCGAAAATCTGCCGGTGCCATTGACCCACTAACAGAGCGAAAATCGGCTGATTAAACTTATGTCAGATGAAAAAACCAACTTGGAACCGCACCGATATATGACCGCTGTAATTGCGGACAATTGGGTGTAACTTGGCATACAATTTGCAAGTCGCCTGGCATGCAAATCGAATGCCAAGCCAATTTGCACCCAGTACGACCGACGTATAAAAGGTGACTTGCCCTGGTATTAAGAAATTTCCTCTCGCTTCCTTTTATGTCTCTGGAATAGCAATCAAAGGGAAATTTCCATGATGGTAACAGCAGAAAAAAAATGAATAAAAAGAACCTGCATGGGGTTTTAACTCTTCCCTACTCTATCTAAAGCAAAAACATTCGGGCTTGATGTCCAATGTACACTCTCCTGTGCGATTCCTATCAGCAGCAGCTGAACAGTCCATTGATGAGGAGAGCAATCCTTGCTGCTATACCATTTTTGTGATATGGATTTATTCAGGCCTGCAATGCTCTGGAACTGTATGCAACAGCCATGCGCACAGGCATGGCGTTCTATTAATGAATGTTCCTGCATGGCAGCCAGGAAAACCCCGCGCTGCGCCTTCACACAATAGGCTGCTCACAAGCCCGCTGAAACCTCTCAGCAAGCTCCCTGCCAATCAGGTTACAACACCCTACTTTGCCTTCTTCATAGCAACCCCCACCGACGTCACCTCGGTAAAGAAAAGCCGGTACTCATCCATTGTTTTCATTGGCTGCCCTTGTTTCCAAGGAGACGATCCTCCACCTAAGAACCCGCCTTTTGCTTTTCATTGGCGCGGCTCTTACCGTCATGCTGTAATTGGTTGTCGTGTAGTCCAGTCAGCTTTCGAATAGTCTTTCGCCTCTGATTACGTCTATCTCTTGGTGAGCTGCGCAGTGAGAGAGGACGTTCATTCACCGCCATTTTGTGCAGAAGAAGCAACAGCAGTCGTCGTTCTTTGCTCCGTGCTCCCCGGTTCATTTATCCTTATTACTCTTCGTATCCCTTGGTCTACTCACCTTCGTTGTCACCGCGTCACGCGCTTGTGGCAGCATTGGTCATTAATCCGAAGAAACGAGGTAAGTGGACGGCGCCAGCAGTATGTGAAAATGGCCACCTAGGGAGAGGCCGCAGTATAGGCCCGAACGTCTGCGACACATCCTATGAGCGCTTCTCATGTGTCCGCCCGCTGTCTGTGTGCCTTGTATCCCGTGTAGAATGTATGAGGCCTTCATATCCCATCCATCGAGCTCATTTATTCTCTAGGATTTCCTTTAACCCCTGCCTGACCTAAGAAGCCATGTGCAGCAGCACTTCCTGATTGTACTTTACGATCACATGTTCATGTGCCTTTTCCCTTCCATCTGTTCCCATCTCGTGTATTTTTCCACGTGTTGCTACAGGCCTGTGTGGGAAAAGGTTTGAATATAAGGGATCGCAAATCTCAATGCACGTGATTCGTTTCAGCCATTCATCCTTGGGGGCCCATGTGTGTCCCAGGCAGGAGGAAGTCGTCTTGTTGCCATAGCAAGCTGGGAGGTGTATCTTCTGCACCATAGACACGACGATCTTAGTCCTCATGCACACTGGATGCTTTTACAGTGGCTGTTTTTGGCTTTTGACGGTTTTTCTACAGCCAGTAAACCCCCCCCCCCCCCCCCAGCATGTTATCCTATGTGTCCATGCACATGGACTGTAAGCAGTGTTTTTTGGCTGGAAAAAAAACTAGAAGTAGTGGGGGTTTAGAGGAGTTTTTTTTAGCTGTGAAAACACGATAAATCGTGGCAAACCAGCATTTTTGAACCCCTTTTTTTTTTTTTTTTTTTTTTTTTTTTTTTTACCAAAAAAAATTTTTTGCAAAAAAAAAAACTTGGCTAAACGTGAATACAAAAATGCTGAAAAACTCACATCTTTACTGTGACTTCACAAAGCTATCGTTACCAGCATTATTAAAATGCCCAGTGTGCGTGGAGACTAATTTGCATTCCCCCCGTGTTAAATTGTTAGATCTAAACCTTAAAGTAGTGTAAAGCCAAATGTAAGCTTAATAATCACTAGATGTGGCTGCATTTTTCTTTTTTTGTTTAGGTTTTGTTTCACCTGGTGATCTGGCTAGTAACACACCTATAATAGAGTGCCCCCACTCTGGATGAAGGAGCACAGGGGCACCTGTCTGGAAAGTGTTAGTACTAGCTGGGCAGCACAGTGGCTAAATGGTCAGCACTTCCGCCTGGCAGTACTAGGGCTGTTGGTTCGAATCCCAGCCACGGCACCACCTGCCTGGAGTTTGAGTGTTCTCCCTGTGCCTGCATGAGTTTCCTCCGGGTACTCTGGTTTCCTCCCACACTCCAAGAACATGCTGGTAGGTTAATTGGCTCCTGTCTAAATTGGCCCTAATGTGTATGTATGAATGTAAGCTAGGGACATTTGATTGTACGCCCCTTGTGGGTTAGGGACTGATGTGAATGTATAATATATAGGTAAAGCGCTGTGTAAATTGACGGCACTATAGAAGTACCTGAAATAAATAAAATAAGCTGGCCATACGTTATACAGTTTTCTTCAACTTCCTTTAGAGTTACCGTCAACTATGTAGAGCAAGGGCCATCCTAATTCCATACACATTGAAAGTGTTTAGGATTGACCTTGTGGTTTTTTTGTAAATCTAAAGGAAAATTTGCACAAGCCGATTGTATAATGTATGGTCAGCTTTAGATATAAATTAGAGCCAAACTCCATATAACGCTTTTTAAGCGATTACAAAAAACCCCCTTTTCGGATAAAGGTTTTGCATTAATCTGATCACTGTAAGCACCGCTGCCAGTGTAAAATGGTGTGTGTCAACCCTCTCTATGTAAGAGAGCTTGTTCTTTTGGAAAACAGATTTACTGGCCAGATCACCAGGTGAAAATAAGTCGAAAAAAAAGAAAACTAATGCAGCCATCATAACCATTGGTAAACTGCAATATTGTTTGCTTTTGAGTTTCACTGGCCACACCTCTGTGATTTAAAATCGCTTAATTTGTGTAGACTTTATTACGACTTATGAAGATTTTCAACGATTTCTTGCAATTTGTAGTGCAATTTTTCCATTATATCTTATATATGTGAAATCACAATAAACTGTAGAAACAGTAATGCAAGAAGTACTTTAGAGATCACGCTGTAGCAAATGTTAAGACACTGACATTCATTAGATGCGATTTCAATCGCACCTGAAATCACACCAGTATGGCCGGGCACTGGGGCCAGTTTGGAGCCTACTGATCTAGACTGAGGCCCTAATCCCACCTGAGCGTTGTGCATCCTAATGCAGGCCATACATTGAATTCCAAACAAATTTTAAGAAAAGTGGAAATATTGTGCGTTTTGTAATCCGATGGTGCCACCATTTTGATTTTTGAAATTTGACCAGCCAATCCTTCAATTTCACCTCATGTTGTTAAGGAAAAGAATTTGTGGCCAAGAATTTTCTTTTCACAACTTATGCTAATTTCTTTTTCGGTTGTATTTCTTGCACAATTCTCCCATCATTGATTAGAAATTTGTTCATTATTCAAAAAAGTTCCAGCATGCCGAAAGTTGATGGACAAAAATCAGCCATTTCTGTGGCCCACTGATAGTGCGAAATTAGAACAAAAACTCTTAGAAAAGATTTTTGAAAGAAAATTTCTTTCGGAATTCAATCCGTGTATGGCCAGCTTAAGGCCTGGTTCACACTACATGCATTTCAGTTGCTGTTTTTCTGCATCCAAACGCACAGAAGATAGGTTATATGATTATCAATGTCATAGTTCATATCAGTGCTTGCAGTTCCAGTGCGTTCTGGGTGCAGAAAAAAAACAGTACAACAGGCTGCATTTGTTTCTGCACAGAACTGTACTGGAATGCAGTAAAATGCACTGGAACGCACATGACCCTATTTAAATTGATAGAGGAAAAAACACACTGGAATGCATGAAAAAAGCATGTGCAGAAACGCATCTGGACTGCGTTCCTATAGTGTAAACAGGCCCTTAAGCTCAAGACTCAAACTCTCAGCAACCAAGTTTGAATGGTGTCATTTCTTTGAGCACTCAGGCACTACCTGATGATCCAAAAGGTGCATGAGCTACTTTTAAAACAGAGTGGGGTGTTTTGGCCCTATAGACTTTAATAGGAGTGCCTGTAAATGTACAAAGCAAACAATATAGCAAGTCCAATAACTAGAATGCTGAAGCTTGAATACACATGTAGGATCCATGCACACTAGGGGAGGAATAAAGAGGCATAAAAAATGCTCATAGTGGCTCCTATTGCACCAGTGTTTGAGAATTTGTGGGTATTTGCTTTTATAAATGCTTTTTTTCCAAACATTCTCTCTCCTCAGTTTTTAATGTACGCTTAAACACTGAAAGCTCCTTATATGCACATTTCATGGATGTTGAGTTTTTTTTTTTTTTTTCTGCCCGAACGTTCCTCAAAAATCGCAAGGAAGGTTTTTGGGGGTTTTTTCGCCTCCTAAATGCTCCTCTGAAAATATGCCTATAAATTCTGTAATGTATTTGGACACAGGCCAACATAGAGCTGCTTTTACAAGCCAAAGGAAAAAAAAAAAAAACCGCTTGTATAAGCAGCATTTTTTATGCCCAGTGTGCATGGACCTGTAAAATACTTGAAATATGTTTTTAAAAAAACGCTTGTTTGTGTTTAAAAAAAAAAAAAAAAAAAGCTTCAAGAATGCCAAAAATCACTCGGGTGTGAAAGCAGCCTATGCTCCTGCTCAAAAACAATCAGTGTGACAATAAAGACACTTAAGCACAGGAAGTAACAAACAGGAAAATGTATAAAAAGGAAAAAAAGTAGTCTCTTAATTTTCTTTACAAAGGTTTGAAATGCCTAAAGCCAAACAGTGCTGTGCAGATACATGAAAAACTTGTTGAGGCCTCAGTAAAATGAGTATGCATTTGCATACAATAAATTGCTTGCCTGTAGTTTATTATATTTATTTGTAACTTGCATGTAATTTATTTATTCTTATTCTGCTGAGGCCTCAGTTTGTTTTTCATCCATTTGCACAACATACAAGACATATGGACTGTGCTTTAGACCCCATTCACACCTAACATAACAGGAACCCCCATTCACATGCCCAATTGAATGGGCTGCCCTATGCGCAACAAACACATCAAAGAAACTTCAGAACATTTTCAGGCATGCAGATTTGCGTGTTTGTAGCGAGCCTTCTAACGTGCTTGGGGTGGCATTAACAGGTATTTTATTTTTTGCAATTTTTTTTTGGGGGGGGGGTTATGTTTTTGACGAGCAGGAATACAGCACTAATTTACTTAATTACTACTAATGTAGAGTGTCTGGCTGCTTATTACTGTACAGATCTTTGGAGCAGTGATCTTATGGTGAAGAGAGACTGCAGCATTAAAGGATCCGATTTCCTTTTCTTTAAAGTGTAAACTGTCAGTGTCTGTGCTCCCCACCAGTGATCCCACTCACCGACAGATGTGGACTCTTAAATGTATGCCAGAGTCATATGCCATTTTTGTGTAAATATTCTGATATTGCTGGTGCTGGGTCTTCCTCTGTAACCGTATCTTAATTCAGTAGCGATGTATCAAAGGGATATGTATCTCTCACATGGCATATGTTTCTAGGTCTGTGTACCTGCTGTGGTGTTTCTGAGGGGTGCTGTACTTGCTGTTGAACTTTGTTAGGATTATTCAGACTAAGAGTAGTGTTTCTCCAATGTGACTGGGAAAGAACAATGAAAACTGGTCACAGGAAGCCCTAAGACTGGTTTCACTTCATTGCTTGTGGCGTGTTACAGCTAGTGTGTTCTCTTGTGTTGCATTATAGAGCAACGCGTGCTTTTCATACAGTGTCAGTCCCTATTTGCTCTTTACCTCTAAAGTGACTTTATTGGGTAGTCTTGCTCCTGCAAACTCCTTGGTGGACATTTTGGGGGAAAAGTATCTCCCACATTGCAGTGTGTGGTAGTGAATCAAAGCAGGACATCGCTGGATTTGCTAGGTGAGTGAGGATGCCATTTTAGGGTAAAAGTTAAGAATACACTTAAAGTAATAGTCTCTTCCCCCCCCCCCCCCCCCAAGCTGCCTTTGTTTTTTGTTTTTTTTTTTCTATATAGTTCACCCCCTCCATTCTCACCTAGATGAGTGATGTGCCCCTTCTTGTGAAGCTTCCTGGAATATGCACATCACATATTCCAGAAGGCTTCAGTCTACAGGCTGTGGATGGGGGAATGTGGACCTGTTGCGCACCATCAGGGGGCTGGCTGCCTGAACTCTGAAAAGACAGCTGGCTCCTGATTGCGTCATAGAACCTAGTGTGTGGAAGTGGATCACAGCAGGAAATTGCTGGGTGGGTGAGGATGTGATTTTAGGGTAAAAGATAGTAGTAATACTTTAGTATTTTAAGTTCTTATTTTTTTGCCAGGTCTCTGCAGTGGTTTTGCAGAGAGCAGCCGAGGCAGCTTGCTATGTGAACACCTGAGCAGGTGCGCCCCCGAGCCTATGTACCCATTCACACACCCCGCCCCCTCCCTCTCTTGCTGCTTCAGCCAATCAGGAGTGAGAGTCCCCCAGAGAACTGAGGCTCTCGTGGACATCAGTGGATTGGGATGGGGCTCATGTAAGTGTTTGGGGAGGCTGCTACTCATAGAAGGTTTTTCATTTACCTTCATGCATAAAATGAATGAAGGTAAAAAAACAACCTTGAGCCTTTAGATCCACTTTAAAGTGGTAAAAGCTGTTTTTTACATGAAATAACATGTTTCATTTACCTGATCTGGTGATTGAACAGAGCTGTCTCTTACCTCTTTGTCTGTAATCCCCCACCCACGTTCCATCCTCCTCGAGTGCCCTATAGCAAGCTGGCTGTTGTGGGAGTGTTCATGGAGGCACTTTCCCTCACTTGGCTGTGTGCGTCCATAGACACACACAGTGGGGCTCAGTGTTCTCTTTAGGACAGGAAGTGTTTTCTGGCAAGATCACCAGGTAAAATAAAAGGGAAATCTATCTGGTAATCTGAAGTATATTTAATTTGTAGCCTGCTCTTGATTCCTGTGAACACTTTTCATTACCCTCTTCCTGGCATAAATCTTTCTGACAAAGGCCAACAGAAATGCGTGCATTTCATACCTGTTACCAGGTTGGAAAGAGTCTCTTTAAAGTGAAGCTACCAGCAGCTTTCTATATGTTTTTTTGTGGACTCTATATACAGAAGCCCATTCTGTTAGGGCCAGTTCACCCTGTTGCATGGAATGGCTCCTTAACACATTTGCTATTGGAATTTGCATTGCACTGCCAGAAATGCGACATGCACCTCTTTGGTACACGATACACGTTAACGCAGTAGAGCGGTACAAATGGACTCTTAAAATTTTTAATCTCTGATCCGGAAGCCACATCTGATTCTCCGAAAGGTTTAGTATAAAGCTTGTGCGCTTTTGTTTGTGGTGTGAAAGACTCTGTACTGTCTTTCCATCTACAACCTAAAAACTGAAGTGGTAGAAATAAAGTGGTATTGGGGGGGGGGGGGGGGGGTCCCTGATACACACTGGAAAGATGATTAAGGCTGGCCATACATTATACAGTTTTCTTACATTGTTCTGCCCAATTTCCTTTAGATTTACCTTCAACTATGTAGTGCAAGGGTCTGCCTAAATGGATACAATTTGAAAGTGTTGTTTAGGTTTGACCTCATATTGTATGGTTTTTGGTAAATCTAAAGCAAAACTCTCAAGAAAATTGTATAGTGTATGGCCAGCCTAAGAGAGGCTTTGACCGGATTCCAGAGACCGTTTAGGTGGAACAATAGACGTCATCAAAACAAAGATAGAAACCTCCAAACATCACAATGCATTTTTCAGTTTTGATACTCTCCCAAATTTTATGCATAGATGTGTACATAGCTATATTTTGAAAGATGTTGGGGGTTTGGTAAGCATTTTTAAAGTGCCTCTAATTTTTTTTCTTTTCCCAATTACTGTGGGAATAGATTTGTGTGATACAATGAGAGGAATTTACTAATGCTGGCCATAGACAAGTTTAAAACTGACCAATCTGTAGATCAAAAAACGAAAATTGTGCATATGATTGTGCATCATTATGTTTAATCTTACTTTTAAAAAAAGCACGTTGGATCTGGCACATTGATTGCAGCGTGAAAATCGTGTGGTGCAACTGGCACAGTAGTGATGCGAAAAACGCATGATTGACGAGAATTTTCGTTGGGTTCTGGACTCATCCGTGGTCTGCTTAAAGGCCTGTACACACGATGAGAAAATTGGACAAAAATACCTCTTTCGGAGTCATCATCCGAGAATCTGATCATTAGTACACAGATTTCGAGAGCCCAACATGACAGTTCATACGACAATATCCGATGGGACAAACGTCACTTTTCTCATGTGATACGAGAACGAACAATATTTGCTCAGTACAGTAGTTGTCTGAAAAAAATCGGAAGAGCAAGACCACGCATGCTCAGAAGTGAAAGAATACAACACATTACATCACTTCTGAAGTGGTATTCTGTCCGAGAATTTTCATAACTTTAGCAACCTCTTAATTTTTTATGCTAGCATGCAAAAACAAAAAAAAGACAATCATTCGTCCGATATTATCATCGTGTGCTGGGCTTTAGACTGGAACAGGCAGAATCTGAAGCGGCTGTGCATGACGACAACTAGTCTGCAACCAACTTTAGATTTTTACATTCAAAGCTTAACTTTACAAGCTGGTTATTATGCACATCTGCTCCAGTTTTAGTACATTTCCTGCAATGTTTATAATGTCTGTGAGAAGTATAACTTTTTTTTTTTTTTTTTTTTATTGGAGCACTATAACTAATCTCCAGTATAGTGTGTGTGTGAGAGTAATCTGTTCACCTACCTTCTGTGTTTTTGTTCTTTTTATGTTGGTGTAAAAGTAGCTGTTATGAACTAAAAGCCGCACTTTTGGTTGGAAATTTTTTTCACATATGTTTGAGTGGTGGAAATGCTACATGTTTGTTGGTGGCTTGTTTCTCCTACCCCAATATCCCTCATTCCAGTTTCCATCAATCTGAAACTATTCTCCCCTTCTCCTTTCCACAGGACAGAGATCTGAGCAGTTCTCCAAATTCCCCCCATCCTTCCCTGACCTGTTGTGGCTGAATTTTAAATAATGTCCACGCTCCTTGCCCTTCATTATTTCCTCTAGGATAGTCTTTCAAAGTGCACATGTAGCAGTTCAGTTACTTTTAAGTGAAAGGAACTGAAATTGTTATACAACAGTGAGGTTGCATTGAACACAGGAGCTTACCAACCTCCCTTTTTAAATACCAGCCAATCCATCATTCTGAATTTTATTTTTATTGGGCACAGAAACAGAAAATGCTGCACTTGTCAAGTGCTATGAACAGCCTTTCACCTCCTCCCCACCCCCCACCCTCCCTTTCCCATCCCTTCAGTGCAGAATTTTTGGGGTGTGTAACCTGATGGTGATAAATGACACTTTGATATGACATGCTACATTTTTTTAAGAATAGCTAGAATTTTTAAATGGAATTTTTAAAGTACTCTACATTTTTTTTTCTGATTTGGATTATTTTCATAATTTTTCCCCTTTTTTTTCACAGCGAAGAATTTTTTTTGAAACGTCAACTACAGTAAGTCTCGCTTTTCATGTGTTTTTAAAAATTGTTTTTTTTTTTTTTTTTTTTTTTAATTTTTATTTTTCAAAACCATTTTCCTGCCTTACTGGTCTCCTTTTTAACATTTGCTGTATTTCTGATATTTTTTTATTTTTAGTTTTTATAGTTTTTGTTTTTATATTTATATGTATAAATGTTGGTACTGATGCTGATTTTTCTCAATGTTTTTTTTTTATTTTTTATTTTTAATTTTTTCCTGGTGGGGGTTGGATTGGGAAGGAGAGTCTTTCTATCCTTTTCAAATATGCATAATCCATAATTTTTGGTCCAGGGTATAAGTTTTTCTCCCTGTTGCTATGTGTAGATGTCAGTATTTTTTTTTTCTTGCTTTGTTGAAAGCTAGAATTAAACTGCGTATAACTTAACAGGTTTTGATATTGTTGATTAGTAATACTGTTGGAACCTTTTGCAATGTTTTCCTACTGTGCATTACCACTTGTGGGCAGTGGAATTTTTGACAGTTGCCAGTTAATATCCCTTCATTTAGGCCCCTTCCCTGCCACTCCCCATTCCACATCCCGCTCCTTTGTCCCACCGCTGACAACCAGCTTCAAAGAAGGGATCAAGACCCGGTATTCCGTTCCTTTTCACTCATGGTAAGGCTGATTATTAAGGTAAAATAAAATGCATTCAGTTCTTTGTATACATCATGTGGATGTATAATTATATTTAGATGTATAAAACAATACTGAGTTTCCTGACTGTTAGCTGTGCCAGGTTCACCAAAATCAGATTTTTACCTGAAGCACTGCTGCAAGTGAAAACTGATCTTACCTTTTTTTATTTATTCAGATGTAATTGTACTTCACATGCAGTATTATATCTGAATGCATAGGCTTGGTCCAGCTCAATTGGTAAGCGAGTATTTATTTTCTGATCTGCTCAGATAAGATTCTGAGGAGGACACATAAAACTATTGCTTCTATAGGCATGGACACGTTAAATCCCTGCATTAAAGGCATGTGGGTACTATAAACATTTGACTTATAAAAAAAAAATGGTGGTTGGTGGAGTTTTTAGTCATGTGTTTTTATGATAATAGGTTACCACTAATGAAATGTTCCCCATCTCAAGCTGCTGCAGTTGGTTTGCTTACAGCTTTTTCTTCTGTTCGTACCAAACATCCAGCATTGAGTAGCACAGATATCACAAGAGGTCACACTTCCTCCATTCAGAAAAAGCCTGGTTTTCATTTCACTGAACAATAGACGTACGGTGAATGGAGGAGGTGCGGATGAGCATCACAATCTTCTTCCTCCTATCACTAAATGCCTTGCATTCAGTGAAAACAAAATTGCAGTGCTTTTTATGGTTGCTGCAAACAGTGGAATTCATGCCAAGAAAAAGCTGCAGCAGCCAGGGATGGGGCACACTTCAATAGAGGTAACTTATTTTTACTGTGCAAATGTAAAAAATAAAAATGTTTTGGCCATATTTCAGCTTTAAAGTGGTATGTAAATCTTACGTATACCCAGTGAAGTGATTAGCATTAGGTGAGGCACAGAGACAAAACAAATACTTCTGCGTAAGTTGTACCTGTTTATATACTGCCATCTCCTATCTATAAACATTCAAAGTGCAGAATTTATACGACTTGTCTGAGCTTTCAAAAAGCATGTGGCAGGGAGCTAAAATTACATACTGTAAAGCTCAGTGAGGAGAGCTGTTGTGAGGGAAGAAACACCCCCACGCCCCTTCACACAGTAACAGAGCTGAGACTGTCATTCACAGACTGTATGCTGGAGCTCCCTCCCCACACCTTTTTATCTCATGGTGTCAGGAAAACTTGTCAGAAGTAACTCGTGCTGATAGCAGAGGAAGGAGGTGGCAGAGAGAAATGATACTTAATGCTCTGGATTGAGACAGTACACACTTTAGAAGGATATGCTTTGTTCAGAATTAATGTCTGAGGTTTGCAACCACTTTTAAGTATATTTCCACTTTTGCAGCCAAATTGGGATATACCCACATTTAGTGGTGCGCCGAAACCAAAAATTCAGGATGCACTTGGCTGAAAACCGAAATAAACAGTTTTAAAAAATTTTAATATATTTTTCAAATGGAATGTTTATGGAAAGAAAATACACTTTAATGGTTAAAAAAACACTATATATACCCCAATTATTGTTACACCGAGTAAATAGATCCCAAACATGGCATGTTTTAAAATTGCGCATGCTCGTGGAATGGCGTCAAAACGACGGTATTTAAGAATCTCCATGGGTGATGTATTAAAAATATGTACAGATTATCAGTTTAAAGTTAGAGTAGATCTAGTGCTAGAATTATTGCTCTTGCTCTGACGTTTGTGGCGATACCTCACGTGTGGTTTTTATCTCCGTTTGCATATATGGGCATGGCCTACATATGCGGTCCACACTACGCACGAACACGGGGGCACTTAAAAATTTTTTTTTTTTTTTGCATGCATTACTTGTGATAGGACTAAGCAGTGACAGGTCCTCTTTATGGAGAAATATGGGGTCAATTAAAAGCATTGATCTTAAAAAAAAAAAAAAAAAAAAAAAGGCCTAGTTTACAAGGAACCAGAAGTGATGTCGCTCTGGTCCTCCAAAGGCATAGAGATGAGTGGAGGCCATCTTTCCTTCGCTTATGTCTGCCTAGCACCGGGATCGTTCGATGGTTTCTCGGTTAAGGCTGCGGGGGGGGGGGGGGGGGGGTATTTTTGGCACCTGTCTGGGCTTGTTTTCGTATCGGCTGGAGGCCGATAGGGGTTTTTTTGTCCAAAAGGTTTCAGTGCATCCCTACATAATTTATATTTGATACTTGTCCCCGTTCACACAGAGCATAACTTGGAAAGAAAAAAATTAAATTTACCTTTTTTAGATGTTCTATTCTGGACCCTCCAGCAGGGAAAAAACTTTTTTTATGGGGGCTGGGTAGCTGTGTTTTCCATAATTAACCCGGTCTGTATGTTGAAGGCAAATCTTTATCAATTGTAACTAGATTTTAACACTATGGGGGAAATTTACTAAAACTGGAGCACTCAGAATCTGGTGCAGCTGTGCAAGGAAGCCAATCTGCTCCCAACTTGAGCTTGTTCAGTTAAAGTGATTCTAAAGGTTTGTTTTTATATTTTTTGCAAGATAGCAAACATATCTATATTGCCCCCATCTTCTCTCCCCCCTCCCCCCAAATTAGCTGAGGCAGAGACCAGCTCAGGCTGCCATTCGCATAGCTGGATTGCGATGAGGCTCAGGTAAGTATTAAGGGGGGGGGGGGCTGGGGGAGCTACTGCATTCATTGAACACTTGATGGTAAGAAAACCTTCAGCCTTTACAACCACTTTAAGCTTTGACAATAGACCCTTGAAGCTGAATGGTTTTTATGCACAGCTGCCCCAGATTTTACATTTTTCCAGTTTTAATAAATTTCCCCATCTGTCCTGTCCTAACAAAGGCCCAACTGTAGTTGCTAGTCTTTCTTCATTGGATGTTAGAGGTCAAGTTTAATACATACTCAAACATTGTTCAAAAACCTTGCAGTCAGCCATGGCATCTTCTCATTGGAAACATCTAGAACAGGGGTCCTCAAACTTTTTAAACGGGGCCAGTTCACTGTCCCTCAGAACGTTGGAGGGCCAAACTATAGTTTAAAAAAAAAAACAAACATAAAACCTATGAACAAATGCGGACATAGTACAGGAGATGATCAGAGACTGCGGACATAGTACAGGAGATGACCAGAGACTGCGGACATACGGCGGCGGGAATACTGGGCCGGCCGCTCCATAAGACGCACAGACATTTCCCCCCCAAGTGTGTCTAATGGAGCGAAATATACAGTAAATGCAGGATACCTTGTTGGGTCAGATCTGTGTACAATGTAAAGAGGGAGAGAGAGAGGGAGGAGATCGATCATCTATTGCACTTATCTAGGCTCTGTGGCCGTGATACCCGACATGCAGCGATGGAGTCTCCTCTTTCTCCCCCTCTTCATGGTCAGCTCTAGGCTCCGCCCTCCGGCCGTGACAGTTGCATGCACTGATCAGAATAGATGGCCGGCTGGCTGCAGAGAGGCCATGTGAGTGGTGCGGGTTCATAAGCCGAGCCCACCTTCCCCTGTTCTAGAATTGCTGATCCCGCCCAAGCCCTGCTGAGCTCTCCCGACCTGCCAAACCTAAGTCCCTTGCCTTGCGGCAGATACGCCCCTGCCTGGCGGGCCGGATAAATGTCCTCGGCGGGCCGCATGTGGCCCACGGGCTATAGTTTGAGGACCCCTGATCTAGAAGGTAAATGTTAAAGCAAAAATTGGCATGCTGTATGAATGGGAGCATATAGACATATAATGGGGTTTTCTCACATTTGATTGCAAAAGTGGAAGTAAACTAAGAGGCTAGCCATACATTATTTTCAGCCAGCAGGTTGAACAAAAAAGGTCTGATTCCCCCATCCACACACTTGATGTGGATGGCAGAATCACTTCGCCTATGCTGTTGTGTTGTGATGGTAGGGAAACTTCCCTTCCTCCCCTGACAGAATACAATGATCAGTGCTGCCAGCTATAGCTGGTGGCACTGATCATTTGGGAAAAACCCGACAGTCTGCTTGTACACAAGCCTATTGTTAGCTCATACATGGATCAAAATTCAGCCAGATAAGCAGGGACCAGCCGAATTTCGATACATGTATGGCACCCCTAATGCTGGCCATACACTAGTAGATTTTTGGACGAGAATATTCGTACGAACATTCACACACTAATTTTCTCTGTCATTACAAACGTTTACTTGCTTTTAACATTTTGATTTTAAAATTAATGTAATTCCTAACTGAGATCCACATACATTGTCCAAAAAAAGTCAACAACAAATGTCTATTTGACCCCATTAACGATTAGAAAATTGAACGTGAAACACGAAAATCTATACTTGTATGGCCAGCATAAGAGTCTGAAACGGGTTTTCATGTAATTGTTTATAGGAAAGTTATTTTATTTACTACAAATCCTAGCAGCTTTAAAAAAGTGTCAACATGTTCTATTATTTCACAGTTTACTAGTTGGGCTACTAACCTAAGCTCAATTAAAGTCACAGAGATCTTGTGACAAACATTTGTAACAATAACTTTGACCATGGTGCCCAGAGCACGCCTTTCTCTTGGCAGACTTGGTCAGTGTTATCAGGCTAGGATCAATCGTGACCTAAAGATTCTGAATAGATTCTCCCCTGCCAAAGTCTAGAGCAGGAGGGTAGGAAGTGAGAAAAGCTTTATCTAATTTAAAGGCATTTAAAAATGAAAATCCGTAAAAGATCGTAACTTAGCAGTGTAGGACTATAAAGAGAAATAAATGAGGCTTCAGGTAGACTTTTAACTGGAATAAAGTGTATGTATAGCCATGGTTTATTTGGGTTTTTGCTTTATTTTTGTCCCCCCCCCCAATATTTTGGACATGGCACCAGAGCAGTTGTCCTCACTTGTTTATATGACAAATGTTAGCTCCCCCCTTTTTATTTTTGTGCCCTAAACAAATAGTCTCCTCTTCTGAGGACACCGCAATAAAAACTTGATATGGATTCTAACCTTTCTCCACTCTGTCCAAAACTCCGATGTTGGCTTTACATACACTTTAAAGAAACTTAAATCCTAGATATAATGTAGATGTAAAACTAGCCAAACTATATATTTGACGCAAAATGGCTTCATTAAAAGTAAAAGTTAAAATTGATTTGGGTATATGCTTTTGTGACTTCGTAGTTTTCTTGGTTTTGTTTCCTGTGTTTCATAATAGTCTGTCCTCTTCCTCTGGTTGTCTTTGTTTAGGACATGATGGCAAGCAACATTACTAATAAAACAGATCCCCGTTCTTTGAACTCCCGAGTGTTTATTGGGAACCTAAACACGTTAGTGGTGAAGAAAGCAGATGTAGAAGCAATCTTTTCTAAATATGGAAAAATTGTGGGCTGCTCCGTACACAAGGGTTTTGCATTTGTACAATACAACAATGAGCGCACTGCCCGTACAGCTGTAGCGGGTGAAGATGGACGTATGATAGCTGGGCAAGTCCTGGGTAAGGGACTGAAAAGATTGTTTTTAAAGTAAAAGTTCAAATTACCCAAATTTGTGGATTTTAGTCCTACAAAAATGGGGTGTGCTTTCTGTTATTTTGGGTTACAGTTTACTTATTTGAAAATGTTGATTTGCATTTTCCTCACTTGTACACTTATTTTTTCCTCCCTTTACTTTGCTCTCATTTTAGACATTAACCTTGCTGCTGAACCCAAAGCCAACAGAGGAAAGGGAGGAATCAAACGGTCAGCAGCAGATATGTATGGGTAAATAATTTTTTTTTTTTTTTTTTTTACTAAACTTGTACTGTATCTATAAATCAAATGGCATATATTTTGTACAATAGTCCCAAACAATGTATTGCATTATAAAAAGACTGTGTGTTTACCTCTTATTGTACAATGGCCCCATTAGTATGCAAGTTGTATCCCCTTGCACATTGTTCTTCAATAGCAGTTTAACATTTTATTATGTATTTTCTGCTAGGTCTTCATTTGAACTGGACTATGATTTTCAGCGAGACTACTATGACGGGTAATTATATACCAATAAACTGTGTGGAAACTGAACCCTCTGCGAACAATGCTAATGATAAATTCTTGTTTACAGATATTCTGCAGCCAGAGTACCCCCACCACCACCTATTGCCCGAGCTGTCGTACCATCAAAACGTCAGAGGGTTTCTGGTAACACCTCACGTCGTGGAAAGAGCTTCAACTCTAAAAGTGGTCAGCGGGGTGGATCATCTAAGTCTAGCAGATGTAAGTTTCTTGTCATGGTCTAAAAGATGAGTGCCAGTTTAGAGCAGACATGAAGTAATCTCTTCTTGTAACAAAATGCTGTTTATCAACTTGCATATTGGACTGTGGATTTAACTGTGTCTGGATTAGATTTCTTGCTATGTTCTGCTAAAACTTAATCTCAATCTGCTAAACATATTACTAATTTTCCTGTGTGTGCAGTCTTTTTTTTTTTTTTTTTTTTTTTTTTTTTTTTTTCTTTTTTTGCTAAATACTACCAGTTTTAAAAATATAGTATCTGTATGTAGGGTTTTGGGGGGTTGTGTGTGTTTGTTAAATTCACTTTTTCTTTGTTTTAGTGAAGGGAGATGATCTTCAGACAATTAAAAAGGAGCTCAGTCAGATAAAACAGAGAGTAGACTCTCTTCTGGAAAGCTTAGAGCGAATTGAACGTGAGCAATCTAAGCAAGGTGAGTAATATCTTGGTTGTATGTGATTTTAGTCTTGCATTAGAATCGCCAATCTAAATTCTCTTCAAAACCTGGGAGCCAGTAGGTACAGAACATAAGTATATTTTTTAGTCACCACCTAACTGCCTTCTATTTACAATCTCTGTGCTGAATCATGGAGGCTGCACTGTCCTCCAGAGTTTATACACCTTCAGTGTACTGATGGACTGGCCTTTTTCTCCTTTCTGCTTCCTTTAGCACAATTGCACATTTTGGCCATATTATTTTTTTTTTTTTTTTTTTTTTTTTTACACCACTAATAAATGCAGCAGATTTTTTCTACCATGACATGTTCTTGATGGTTAAAATATACTCTTGTCTATACAGATACTCGGGTTTTCTGTGCCACATTTTCATGCTACAACTTCTTTTTTGAACAAGTGTTTTTTGTGTAATTTGAAATATTTGTGTCCTTTTGAGGCTGGTGAAAGGCATCTTCATGAATTTTTGCAGTTCCAGTGACTGGTCAAATTGTTACTATTGCAAATATAATGTGCATGTTCTCTGAAAAGCATGATCGATCGCTGCTTTTGCGAACCCTTTTTCTGAAGGTTCTAGTTGCTTAGCTGACATGCCACCCTCTTGCTTCAGTACTTTGAATGAATTACTTATAACAAGTATGCAGGTAAGAACTTTGGACTTCTGATCTGCAGGCTTGGTTATGGGTTGATAACGAAAAAGTATTGAAGGAGGAGGATCAGTCTGTGTTGTGTTCTCATCTGGTTCAACCCACCTATTTATCATTACGGTTTTATTTTAAAGGAAGATGTACAGGGTTTTGGTCTGCATTTTGCTTGGAATATTGAAGAACCTTGTCACGCATTAGTAAATTCGCTGTTTGGCAGGCTGATAATTATGTCCTCTTCCTTTATTATATTTTTTTTATATATATATTTTTCTTTTTTCCCCCTTTTTATATATAGAGACAAAAGTGGATGAAGAGCAGAGTGGCACCTCTGTTAAGAAGGAAGAAACAACTGTTAAAATGGTTGCAGAGGAAGGGGGAGATTCTGGCGAAGAGGGAGACTTGCTTGATGATGATGATCAGGGAGAGGACACGGTAGGCACTTGTTTGAAAAAAACTACTTAATTTTTACTGATCAGGCAAAACCTTTTATAATTTGTCTTCAATGCCTTAGTTTGTCAGGTGAGAGGATGATATTTAGCTGCAGATAATGGTGCTCAAAGCCTGCAAGAGGCATTACTCTTAAAGCGGTAGTGTAAGAGGAAAAAAAAAGCAAATGGTTCAAATGGTTCCTTTTCAGTTTAACGGCATAATGTGCTAGTATGCATTGCATACTAGCATATTGTGACAGACTTTCCATAAAAATGGAGCCCTCCAGCAGTACGTTGTAACCTTCGGTCAGTCGTCTTTCTGGGTTTGCACTCCGGCTGTTTGAATGCATGGGCTGTGAATGGGATGGTCATAGAGGTGCAGCATGCTCAGTGTTCTGTTACACCCTGGTCACGCTGGATGCGAATTGGAATGTGATTTGCATGCCATGTGACTTACAAATTGCATGACAAGTAGGGCACCCTATTGTACGCAATTACAGTGGTCATATCGGTGCAGTTCCAACTTGGTCGGAGCTGCACTGATTTCTAAAGTAGTGAAACAATAAAACAGTGCAAAACATGAAATGAATCAACAATTATACACAAATCGTAAATTCTTTGGTTATAAAATGTCCAAAACAATCAAAATGAAAAAAACTATAAAATTTGTGTCCAAATACAAAAAGTGATGAAACCAAAAACAATCTCCTTTTTTAAACATGCAAATAGTGCTCCAAAAAAATTTAGGATAAGTGTAATACAGAGAAAAGACTCCACGGATCCACACCTTCCTGTGAATACTGATGTATTCCGCACTCACCAGAGATAATAAATTGCACTTTATGGATACAGTATTATCCTCCAATTCCCAGGGAAATTTTCCTCTCCATAGCCTCCTCCATATACAAGAGTTTCCTTACATCTAACTTAAGGGATTTCTCCTCATAACGTGCTCTACAGGAAGACAAAGGAGAACCAATAGTGCAATATTGCAAAGACTTTTAATTGAATAAAATAGTGCTCAATCTACTCACATAACTTAAAATAAGTTGCCAATTGACAAAATCCTCAAACAGACTTCCTAGTGTAAAACGGATTCCAGAAAGTAAACCAAAGTACTGAGTAAGAGATCAGCTCTAAACATGTACAAGATGATCCTGGAACGCACCGACCTGTAGGGTAAAGTCAGATTTTGACTTTAATACCACTTTTTTAATTTGTATTTGTAGCCAAACCTTTTTCATTTTTTTTTTTTTTTTTTTTTTTTTTAACTGTAACTCGACCAGCTTCTTGTTCTGTCCAACTACTATTTCCAGTACAAAGCTAGCTGATAGCTTTGTGGTTTTCATAATGTAGAATAAACTGAAAAGGAAGTCCAACTGCATGAGTGCATCACACAAGTTGGTGCCACAGACCTAAAGTAATGCTGCATATGCAAATGTATAGATGATTCAGTCTGGCCATTGGTGGCTATCCAAAAGTAACTATAGGTCTAGGTGGGACTTTTATAGAAGTGTTTTTCTAAATGTGTTCTTGTAGATTGTATGCAATAATGATATAAATGTATACATTTATTTTTCTTGTCAATCAGCTTGAAGAAATTAAAGATGGTGACAAAGAAACAGAGGAAGGAGAAGATGAGGGGGACAGTGCAAATGAGGAAGACTCTTAAGTGTTCTAAATTCCCTACAATCCCCTTCTGCCTATTGTGTATAGTTGGCTCATAGGTCTGCCCCTTAACATCCTTCATGCCACCAGCTCTTTAAGCCTGTTTATTATGCACCCTGCATTTCCTCTGCCGCCTCTTCATTTTGATACCTATTTGTGACTTCTAGAATAAAAGTGTATTGTTTTTACCTGTCTTGCAGTCTTTTTGCTTTTATCTATTCATTTTGCAGCAGTTGAGTTGGGTGCATGTTACTTGCATCGGTAGAGGACAGTTAGGGTGTCCTTATGTAATAAAACTTTCATTTGCGGACAGGTAATTTTCAAATGAAAGATCTTGCTTTAAATATTCAGTTTTGTGTTAATAAAGATTATATCTCTATTCAGAAATTAAGTGTATTTAATGTACATTTTGCTCTTAGGTGTCTGAATCTGTGGTTAAGCAGATAAGATCTGTCAGGTCATTTAAAAAATATTTACTAGTGCAGAAATAATGTGCCTTGATCTTGCTAGTAGTAAGTTTCTTCAAATGCTTGCCTTCTCTATACAGAACATGGGTGTTTAATGTCAACTCCCAGGATGACACCTCAAAGATGTAACATATCACTATATACTATTTTCCTCTTTCCACCATGTGTGCAGTTCTGCAGTCTGTGTCACTGGGGCCATCATTTGCCTATGTTTTTAACTACTAGTGATGCTCACTTGAAGCCTGTATCTCTTGTTAGCTAAAAGAGCTAAACTCTGCGATACTTCCCTAGTAAACTTCAAAGTTCCGAGGCCCTGCACCTGCATCTTCTATCTAGCATTGCAGAAGAGACATTACGGGGTTTATTTACTAAAGCTGGAGAGTCCAAAATCAGACTCCCTTCTTCATAGAAACCAATCGGCTTCTAACCTCAGCTTGTTCAATGAAGCTTTGGCAATGAAACCTGGAAGCTGATTGGTTTCTATGCAGAAGGGAGTCTGATTTTGGACTCTCCAGCTTTAGTAAAACCCCTACGTGTCTCTACTGCAATAAAGGGCCTGCCTGCTCTCAGTTCTGCTTTAACTACTTACTTTAGTGTAGTTACTTTTAGGTGAGTATGTGTGTATATAATGCAGGGTGTAGTTAAAATAGAATTTTAATCAGAAAATGAAGTCCTGCTAGATCACTTCAGGTTGGCCCCATTTGCAGGTATAGCTATGTAAAACAAGTGTTTATACTGTTTAAAATCAAGTAATGCACCGGCTTGCCCTGCTCTGCACATGCTCAGTTGTTCTCCATTTTATGCACCGATGAATTTAGAGGCTGATCTGCTGACAGCCTTAAACCTTCTTATCCTTTACATTACAGCCAAGGAAGCTGCTTCTGTTTGATCTGCAACTGCCATGGTGCTGCACGTGATCAGTTATGACAACAGCCATTTGATTGGTTGAGGACACAAGCAAATGTGACCATTGGCATTCAAGAATGTAAATTTTTGAAACTAAAATTGGATGTGTTTTAGTTTAACCAGTTCTGGGCTTCAGCAAAATGGCAGCCACCAGTAAGAAGAAATGGGAGCAATGCTGGAGCCAATTTACAGCACACATTCATTTTGGTAGCATAATTCTTATTGCAGGATGTGTATGTTCCTTGCTAAAGAACATTTATTTTTGATTAAGTTGTTATGGGTAAAGTTATGTGTGCACATATTAATGCTGAACATTAATGTTCTAGCATTTGCCAAGGCACAACTGTCTATTTTGAAACCGAGGTCTTAATTGCAAATATACAAATCCACTCCAATTTGAGGGGATCCCTGGTTGTGACCAGGTTTAAAAATAAAAAACAACAGTTGTCCCAATTGGAATATTCCTCCACTATTACTGTTCTGGGGACAACACAAAATGTGGGATTTTCTTTTATGTTACCAGTAAACCGGACAAATGGGCACAGGTGGGTGGTACTGATAATCAGTGCCGATCTGACGATTGCCGGTTATCAGCAGTACTTTCCTGAAGCTGTGACAGCGTGAGGAAAGTGCAGCCGATAAGTGGTAACTATTTACCTGGTGATCTGTGTCATTGGACACAGCTGATCACGTAGTAAAAGGCCGCTGTGATTGGCCTTTTACCATATCACGTGAGCAGCTGTGGCCATAGGACACAGATCGCCGTGGGTGTGTTTTGGGAGGATGTCATATGACGCCCTCCCAGAACTTGACAATCATGCGTTGGAAAAAAAAAAAAAATATGACACTTTGCTACAATGTAAAGTAGTGAGTGTACAGTGTAAATTTGCTGTCCTCTCAAAAGCACTCTACACACATAGCCTTTAATGTCTAAACTGCTGGCAACAAAAGTGAGTACACCCCTAACTGAAAATGTCCAAATTGGGCCCAATTAGCTATTTTCCCTCCCTGGTGTCTTGTGCCTCGTTAGTGTTACAAGGTTTCAGGTCTGAATGCTGAACAGGTGTATTAAATTTGCTGTTGCTGCTCTCACTCATACTGGTCACTGGAAGTTCAACATGGCACCTCATGGCAAAGAACTTTCTGCGGATCTGAAAAAAAAAAAAAAAAAAAAAAAAAATGGTTGCTCTACATAAAGATGGCATAGGCTAGAAGAAGATTGCCAAGATCCTGAAACAGCTACAGCACGGTGGCCAAGACCATACAGCGGTTTAACAGGACAGATTCCATTAAGAACAGGCCTTGCCATGGTTGACCAAAGAAGTTGAGTGCACATGCTCAGCATCATATCCAGAGGTTGTCTTTGGGAAATAGATGTGTGGGGGGGGGGGGGGGGGTCAGCCTGTCAGTGCTCACACCACACTGCATCAAATTGGTCTGCATGGCTGTCGTCCCAGAAGGAAGTCTTCTAAAGATGATGCACAAGAAAGCCCACAGTTTGCTGAAGACAAGCAGACTAAGGACGTGGATTACTGGAACCATGTCCTGTGTTCTGATGAGACCAAGAAAAACGTATTTGGTTCAGATGGCATCAAATGTGTGAGGAGTACAAAGACAAGTGTGTCTTGCCTACAGTCAAGCATGGTGGTGGGAGTGTCATGGTCTGGGGCTGCATGAGTGCTGCCAGGACTGGGGAGCTACAGTTCATTAAGGGAACCATGAATGCCAACATGTACTGTATCATACTGAAGCAGAGCATGATCCACTCCCTGTGGCGACTGGGCCACAGGCCAGTATTTCTACATAATGACCACAAACACATCTCCACAAAGATGACTGCTGCCTTGCTAAAGAAGCTGAGGGTAAAGGTGATGGACTGGCCACTCATGTCTCTAGACCTAAACCCTATTGAGCATCTGTGGGGCATCCTTAAATGGAAGGTGGAGGAATGCAAGGTCTCTAACATATACACCAGCTCAGTAATGTCATGGAGGAGTGGAAGAGGACTCCAGTGGCAACCTGTGAAGCCCTGATGAATTCCATGCCCAAGAGGGTTAAGGCAGTGCTGGAAAATAATGGTGGCTACACAAAATATTGACACTTTGGGCCCAATTTGGGCATTTTCTCTTAGGGGTGTACTCACTTTTGTTGCCAGCAGTTTAGACATGGCTGTGTGTTATTTTGAGGGGACAGCAAATGTATTGTTATACAAGCTGTACACTCACTACTTTACGTTGTAGCAAAGTGTAATTTCTTCAGTTTTGTCATACAAAAATATGAGGGGTGTACTCACTTCTGTGAGATAGT